ATAACGAATCGGAATTAGAAATCGGGCAGGTTGATTTTTCACTTTTTTTTGTTTAGAAAATCAACACTGCACGCAATGCGAACCCTGGTGTTTGAATTGATAATTACTGACACAAAAAATTAGATTAATCTATTTTATCAATCTTTGAGCATTTAATTTTCAAGCATGATCATCATCATCAACTTGCGACCTCAGCCGAGATTGAACTCACTACACCTCTCCAGTATTCCCTATCTGTCATAGCACCTAAAAGATCTTCCTTAGGGATCAATGTGTTTCGTTTTATCCTATCTGGAAAGGTTAACTTGCGTGATCGATTGACAGATGATGGGTGCCTCCAGAGTACAAATGATGACACAAGTTCATCTGTGGCACGTGCACAATCCCTGGACACGTCTCCTGCAAACTAAGGTTGATACTCTCGGCAAGTCTCCATATATCATTTCTAGAGTTGGGTGGTTTCAACATGAGAGATTAAGCACTCTTCTTAAAAGACGTGTATAACATCCATTTAAACGACGCTGTTGTTTTGCTGAGAGAGTCCAAGTTTCAGAGCCATAGAGTAAGATTGGCTCAATAAGTACGCGGAAAAGTTGGATTTTAAATTGACGAGCAAGATTGGATTTCCAGATCTTATCCATTTTGTTACAAGCAGTCCATGCTATGCCTTTTCTAATGTTGAAGTCTTTCTCAGAGTTCTTGATGTGTGATCCTAGATACTTGTAGTCTTCGACACATTAATTAATTCAAGCATTAAACAATCGACAGAAACACCTACTTTCCGCAGGTATTTGCTTACAGACTTCAAAATTTTACTATTTCACTAGCAATCGGTTATAAAGTTGAAATAAAGTTGATATTTTCTGTATTAGATACACTGAATTGAAAATATATTCAAACCAGATTTCTAATTACGAATCACTACAAACAATATTTTTTTACTGTATTCGATAAGTGAAAACTATGTAAAAATTGCAAAGATAATAAAGGGCTAATCAATGAATAATATCCTACACCAGTGCTTCTCAAACTATTTCATATGGCGAACCGGCATTGTTTTTTTTCTCAATGTGTCACGTACCTGTAATATTTCGTGGCAATATTAATTTATACAGGAAACGATATATATATATAATGAATATAATAAAAGTTGACTAATTTTTTTTATGTTCCATTTATTTTGCAAAAAATAATACAAGGTCAAAAACATCATACTTATAAAACCCAGGGGATGTAACAGTAAGAGATAGATCAAGTATCGACCAACATAAAGACTGAAAAATAAAATTGACAAAGATTATTGTTTAAGGTTGACGGACACACATGTCTTAATTAGTTTTTTTTTTTTTTTTCGAATTGGTCAAACCCAAACTCAAACAAAAACATTGTTTTCAATCGTTATGAGTCTACCGATTGAACAGAATTTTATTATAAACAATTGTCTTGTAAATGGAATTTTTAAAGCATTCTGAATGTAAAAATAAAGAAAAAAAGTGTGCAAGACAATAAGAAACACTACCTGCCAAAAAAAAAGTGAAGTTTTGTTGAAATCGGTTGAAAAATGTAGGAAATCCGATCCCATATATAAACGAACACACACACACACACACAACCTGGGTTTTATAATAAGTATAACTCGATACGAGTTGTCCCCCTTTCATTCCGCGAAAGCGATGCCTCTTAATCGTGTTTTCAAATTGATTTCGTGCAAAACAATTGTGTTTTTCTAATTTTTGGTGCTGTCAGAACCACCGCAATGTAATTTTACGTAGTCCTGTGAAGTTTTGTTGAAATCGGTTGAAAAATGTAGGAAATACGATCCAATTTATAAACGTACACACACACACACACACACACACACACACACACACACACACACACACACACAAAACCTGGGTTTTATAATAATGATTACATCAGAATATAGCTAAATTGTTCAGTATAATTTCTCTTTGAAGTAAATAAAGGTCTTAATTGATGTTACAATGATTTACTTACAAAGCTTGTGCCTTGCTTCTTGTCCATTTACAATTTGTTAAGTTTTAGTAGATAATTTAACTGCTCTTTCTACACCTTGCGAATGCGCAGGTAAATTCGACAACTCTTACGACGTTCCATTCATTAGAACCTCTTGTAGTTCATTATTTGTAAACCCTTCTGCAAGTGCAGGTTCAGAAACTCGATTTTGTGAGAGGTTAATCAAATTTGAATAGTGTGTCGTTTCACAGTTGATGTATATGTTTTTTGAAAAAAATCTCTTCTTTGTTGCCTCGCTACTTCTGAAACTAAGAAAAAATATTTTTATTGGAAAATATACCCATATTTGGTTATATTTTTGTTGTGTAATTTGGGTGAAATTTTAAGTCAGTCTTGACATAACTAATTAAGTATGAATAAATGGCTGCTACTACATACAGTATGATATCTACCGAGGCATTTGTGATCTACCGTAAATGACCATGCACTCATTATTGCTGGAAAATGCCTAGGGAAAATGATGACCTGTTTATTGTTTTTTTTAAATGACATTAAATCAGTTTACAAACATTATAATCACTATTTCATGATTTTTATTTATTTTTTTTGTATAAAAAATTGTTAATAATTTTTAATACATAACCAGTTCACTGTTCAATGACTTTATCCCTAATCCCTAACCCTAATTCCTAATCGTAACAGTAATCCGTAACCCTAACCCTTAACCCTAAACCCAACTCTTAACTCTAATCCCTAACCCAAACCCTCACATATTTCATACATCTAACAGTTGGTAAATATCATAGCATAGTGCATAATGAATAGTAGATATGATACTATAGTAGAAAATGAATAGTAGATATGATACTATAGTAGAAAATGGACGGTAGATAAATGGACTACAGTAGCACTAATAAGTATTTACTTATCTATTTTTATAGTCCTTTCTCTCACCGTCAATTCATCTGATTTCAACATTGAGAAAAGAATATTTTTTTGTAAGCAAGGCGAAAACATTCTGCTGGAAATTATTTCAAGCAGATTTACAGTTGGATTTTGGCTGACTGTTACTTTATTTCCTGGATCATACTGAAATTATACAATTGTTGGTTATGGAATTTATTCAAACCAACTCACTGTATATATTTCAATAATAAATTTATGAGGCTGTCCTATAAAATCTTTCACTGATCACCAGAATTGTTTGCTTTGGTTTGTTTTACGGCATATCAACCTCAATAGGTTATTTAATGCCGACAAAATTGTTATTGCTGGTAATATATTTTCCCCAAAAATGTATTGCTGATAATATTTTTTCACCAAAAATGTATTACTGGTAATATTTTTTTTTCTTCAAAAAAAGTATTGCTGCTAATATTTTCTTTTTTTTTTTCAAAAATGTATTGCTGATAATAAGTTTTTCTTCCAAAATTTATTGCTGGTAATAATTTATGATATTAAAACATATTTCATAGTGTTTTGACACCAGTTTAGGGGGTTAACTATTTACCAATAGCTGGGACCCTAACAGGTGCTACCACCCAGGGTCAGGGTGGACCTGGGAACACCAGGAATTAAGAGGTGGTTCCACGCTCTTCAAAGCCTCCTGATCAGAGGCCTTGTTGTTGGACGTATTTTATCGTCTTTCCCAGGACGGATCACATGAAATTCCAACGCTCCAATTTTTTAACCTAAACTTAATCTTTAAACTAGTTTCCTCAAAAAAAAAATGGTAAGGAATTGGATAAAAATATTTTGTGTCATTGTTTATCAAGTCCAACTTTTAAATGGAATGCAACATCACGGTTCTAAAATCGATCTATCCTAATACCCTAAGCACATTATAAAAAAAAAAATTAAATTTAAAATTCTTATCGCCTCCTCTCCTTCATGCGCATGTGTAGTCGCATCAACCTAAACGTCAATTTAGTCCGACGAAGTCCTAAATGACGAAAAGCGTCCCACGAAAACTTTTTCATAGATTTTCCTAAAACAGACATAAAACAGAAACAACACCACAAACACTAAATCGTGTTTTTTTTTAAAATATAAATCAGCACTAGACTGGCGTCGAGATCTCATCAATTTACAGTTAAACTGGCTAGTCGTAGCCGTAAGTTCTATGCTAATAGTTTCTTCTCTCGTACTTCTCGCTTGTGGAACTCCCTTCCGTCTCCATGCTTTCCAGCCAACTTTAATTTGCAAAAATTTAAATGCAATGTCAATCACTATCTACTGTCCTCCTGATTACTCTTTCCTCTTCCTGCTCATTATTAATGCTTCTGTTCCTAATTCGTCCACACACTGTGACCACTTGTGTCTTAGTAGCTTTTTTGCCTTGCTTGGGGCGATCGATTAAAAAAATAGCGTGACATTATTATTATTATTGTTGTTATTATTAAGTATTAACAAAGTGAAATGTTCTTTATCTATGGATCGGATACGGGAACGTTCCTCTAACTTAGAAGCTGTGTGTAAGCGTAAAAGATATGGGCGCTGAAAGAGGTAACAGCAAGCTGAGTAAAATTTCCGGGCGAGTCTGTTGTCTTCACTTTATCCCAAATTTCCCATGGAAAATGGATGAATGCGTCTCTTCTCTCTTTGAGTCATTGGCTAAAAAGCAGGGGTAGACTTGACTAAGAGAAGGAAAACTCTGACTACCAATCCTTGAATAAGGTAACGGGAAACGACTCCAATTATTTACCCCGAGAAATAAGCGGCAATTCACAGGAAATAAATAAATAAATAAATAAAAAAGAAAGAAAGAAGTGGAGATCAACTACGCCCTGAAGGTAAATGGCGTTTTATAAAGAAAGATCCAAATTCATATAAGTGCTGCCAAGAAAAAAAATACTAACTGAGGACTTACCGGATAGAGTCAATAGAGTTATGGCTTGCATCAATACATGGCGTGTTAGTAGCATGGCTATCGTCGTAAGACGACGTCGTCAGTGTCATTGAAGAGTGACACAATAGAGAAGATAATTAAAAATGGCCGTCCTTTTGGATGGGGAAATGTAAAGACACACGCAATAAAAAAGTGAAGGGTGGGAAAGAGGATAAGCGTCTCACTCGCACTCCCCCACACAAAGATATCTATCTATCTATCTATCTATCTATCTATCTATCTATCTATCTATCTATCTATCTAGCCTCAGCAACAAGTAATGGTCAGTGAGGCTTGTCTGGTTGTCCATTATTACTGGGCAGTGAGTTTGATCCGCACTGGTTACTCCTGATCCTATTCGGTATTAAATAGCCCAACAACAGTTGACGTGTCAAGTGTGAGGATATTACTAGATACATACATACATATATATATATATATATGTATATATATATGTATATGTATATATACATACATATATATATATACATATATGTATATATACATAAGTACATACATATATATATATATGTGTATTTATATATATATACATTATATATATATCTGTTTATTTATATAATATATATATATATATATATATATATATATATATATATATATATATATATATATATATATATATTCTCAAGTAAATAGATGTTTGTAATGATTGAAACAAATGAATAGAAAAGAAGCATGGTTTATTTCAAGATAAAATGCTGGGAATTGTGGCGGTGTAGCTGGTTAGGTTTAGAGGATGGGGGTGGGGGGTGTTGGGGGGGGTAGAAATGGCGATCGATAATGAACAGAAGGTAAAACGATAGCGTCTTATCGTTTCCCACACGAGATTAACGGCCATTAATGGCAATTAAATGCAAGAAGAAGGAGAGGGAAAAAAATAAAAAATAAGAAAAAGCAGCACAAAAACGAAAAAGTCGAACAAAAAGTTTCGCTGAAAAGAGCAGACAATCAGACGAAAGAGATCGATATGATCAGATTGAGAAAGAAAGACTTAGACAGTAGTCCCGCCCCTTTTTATGCCAAAATCTTTGGTAGGAGAAAAATATTAGTATTATACTCTTTATTATTCAGACCTCTATGCTCAACTTGATTGTTGTTTATTGGTGAGAATAAAAAACAAGTTAGTTCCTCTTCATCAGCGAGGGGTGTGTTCTAAGATTTCAAACCAGAAAACTGAAACCGCGGATAGTAGCAAATATTATTTATGCCAGGTTTATTATATACGTACGCTCCTATGAGAAAGTTTAGTTTATAAATCAGGAAGGGTGATAAAACTAAAAAAATAAATAAAATAATAATGATAAAATAAAACAATTATAATAATAGACTGTAATAAAAGTTATGGGATGGATTGAAGATTCGTTCTTACCGTAGATCTTATTAGGCAAAATAAGAGATTAATAACAATAACTAATAATAAAATGGGGCAATTATAACAATAGACTGTAATAAAAGTTATGGGATGGATAAAAGATTCGTTCTTACCGTAGATCTTATTAGGCACAATAAGAGATTAATAACAATACCTAATAATAAAATTGAACAATTATAACAATAGACTCTAATAAAAGTTATGCGACGGATAGAAGATGGAATTTTAAATGATGAATTTGAAATTTATTATCCTCATTAAAATAAGTACGTTGTGATATAAAGACGTGGGTAAAAATTACGAATAATAAAATTAAACAATTATAACAATAGACTCTAATAAAAGTTATGTGACGGATAAAAGATTTGTTTTTGCTGTATAACTTATGAAATTAGCGCATAAATAAATTGAAAAAATATTTAAAAAAAAAAAAAAAAATTTTTTTTTTCAAGGGGGATAACTCATAAACTTGTTTTCAAATTACTCCCCTTAAACTCCATCTCTTTCTCTCTCTCTCTCTTATCTTTCTCAGTCTCTCTTTCTCTTAACCCCTCATTCTGTTAATATCTATCTATCTATCTATCTATCTATCTATCTATCTATCTCAGTCTGTTTGTCTCTCTTCATTCATCTCAGCCTATCTACATCTATCGCTGTAAAAGAGAATCATATTCCCAGTCTTAACCAATTCCGCATTTATTCCCGGCAGAACCGATAGATCAATATATATTTACTCAAACGAATTATTAGCGTTAAAATTTATACTTTGCAAAATCCACTTCAGCTATAAAAATGATTTGACTATTGTACTGTCCTGTTTACCATTCAGATCCCACAGTGGTAGATGAAGTCAAAAATAATTTTTGTTTGGCGAAAGGACCTAAAAGGAGAACGATTAAAGATATAAACAGAGGAATATGTTTTAATACTAATAAATCAGGTAAATATTTTGATTCCAAAATTATTGATAGATCCGACAGATGCATGCTGGGATTTTTTCGTAGTCAATAAAAATGGACAATTCTTGGTTTTGTCCACAATTTTTTTCCGGCATTCCTTGAAGTCTATAACAATTTGACCGTATGCCGTTCGCATATGAACACTGTTTCGATTCTGTGAGCTTTTTACATTCTTACCGATTTATAGTTGCTTCGCATTGCCTCGTTTTACATTGAACATTTATTATGTATTATTATGCTCTGTTTGTCTTAGTTTTATTATTATTGTTATTTTATTAATTCCACTCAAACATGTCTGCTTATTCAACCAAAATAAATAAATAAATTAAAAAGAAAAAAAAATGAAAGAAGAAGAAAAAAGCGCAAAAACTTCATCGGCAATAATTCTTCTTGTGATATATGACAAGCTTTCATTAGTGGAGTTTATCATCACATTGTCTACCAATTCGCCCCGTTCATTGACCTGTCCTTTTATAGTTTTGATGATTCAAGACTATAAAAGGACGGGTCAATGAACCGCCTTCTTTTTTGTTTCGTGTTGTAGCGATAACGGTATGCTTCCTTTCCGATTAGACTTTTTTAACCGACTACTTAATTTCAAACAAACTACGTGGACACACACACACTCTTTTTCTCTCTCTTTCTTCCTCTCTCTTTCTTCCTCTCTCTCTCTCTCTATTGTTTCTTTTGTTTTCAGTGTCTATAAACTTCTCTGTATGTGAGTAGCCAAAATAAACACATTGTTTTTGTTTCGCGATGTAGCGACAACACGGTGTTTTTTTCCCTCCAAGTAGACGTTTTTTAACCGACTTGTTAATTTAAAACAAACCACGTGGACACACACACACACTCTCTCTCTCCCTCCCTCCTCTCTCTCGATTGTTTCTTTTGTTTTCAGTATCTATAGACTTCTTTGTATGTGAGTAGGCAAAATAAAAGCATGTTTTTTTTTGTTTCGCGATGTAGCGACAACACGGTATTCTTCCCCTCCGAGTAGACGTTTTTTAACCGACTACTTAATTTCAAACAAACCACGTGAACACACACACATCCGGAAAATCTGGCGAATTCATCAACACGACTAAACTTTTTCTCGTGTTTGAAATGTCAGCCGATATTCAGTCAGATTTCGATTCGATTTTCTACATGAGACAAACTGTATGTTAAAAAGAAAAAAAAAAAAAAAAGAACTCCCTCAATTATGTTTGTTTCATAAGAAGCTAGTTTAAGAATGTCAAGAATTTAGATTATTTTGGCACGATATGTACCAAATCTTTGAAAGAGAAATTGAAAGGTGTGTAAAAACCTATTTTTTGTAAAGTCGTAGAATTGGTCTGTTAGCGCCTAAGAACCTATTGATAATATTTTTTGTATGTTTTGTTTTTTTTTTTTTTTTTTTTTTTTAAATCATTTCACCTCAAGCAAATCGGGAATGCCACAAGTACAAAAAGCGTTACAGAGAGTGAAAGTGAGAGAAGAGACTGGATATAGCGGGTTGGGTGAGCTGGGGTGGGAATAAAAGATGAACGGGATTGAAGAAGACAGAAGATAGCGATTGAAGCTGCATTTCGTAGTTATCAGGGCAGCAAATAAACGGAAGGGAGTTCCACAGGCGGGAAATGCGTGAAAAGAAATTGTTGGATTAGAAGTGACGGTTGCATTTAGCTATTTAAATAGTAAACAGGTGGGACCTAGATGCCAATCTAGTAGCACGCTTAAATTTATGTAGTCCGGGCACCAGGGAAGAAAATCTCGTCAGAGTAGTTGCCATGAAAATATTTGTAGAAAAGATGGAGTGTTTACATTTTTATGGATGTGAAGAATCGAAATTTTTTCATTTATTTCGAAAGAACTTAAACAAACATAATTTTGTGGCCAAGTAAATGATTAAAGAAATAACAAAACAAGTGTTACAGAGATATCATATTTTAAACAGTAAGTACAATAGAACAGTATTACATGACTAGTGAGTGTGTGTCGGTTGACCTAGCGTTCAATCTATTCGACTGTTAATATTTACCAACCTCCCCACGAGGTAGGATGTGGCACAACGCCGAGTTTAATGTGGGGCAATCCGTGTCCGTAGGCTCGGTCAAAATTTTCCCATAGACCCCGTATAAAACGAGGTCGTGTAGCTGTTTCCCGTGACGAGAATCTGCCCTTCGACATAGCATCACCTGGGGATCCTCTCTGACAGGAAGCAGAGTGTCTGACTAGCACAGCTGGAAAAGATCTATTCGACTGTTAATATTTAACACCCCCCCACGAGGGATGTATGTGGCACAAGGCCGAGTTTACCGTATAAACGGGTTCAGGGTCTGTCTACCACCTCGGATAAAACTTTGCCCTTCGGCAAAGCCTCGTCCGGGTTCCTCTCTGCTCAAGGCAGAGAGTTCGACAGATGAACAATCTGGTCGGCTGTTCCCCAAAGATCAGTTCCGGTTCCTTCTAAAGTCTTCGTATTCTCTTTCACTCGCTTGCGTCTTAGTGACATTATCACCTTGCTTTAGGGGAATTGATTAAAAATAAGTTACACAGATGACACTGTGTTGATAACAGACACGGAAGGAAAACTTCAGGACATCTTTGACAAAGTAGTAAAGGAGAGGAAGAAGAAAAGACTAACTATCAACTGGAAGAACACGCATCGTTTCTAGATGTATTAATGTTTCAAAAGTAAAATATCCTGTCTTTTCAAAAACACGTCTCGTCTGTCCGAGAATCCCTTTTGTCTTGGCGAGATGAAAGAAGAATGGTAAAATTATATTAGAAGTAGGTTTATTATTATTATTATTATTATTATTTCCTTGGGTTTCTGTAGTATACACATTTCCTTCCGAGCCCCAACCAGAGAAATATGGTTAGAAATAGCTTCATGACATCTTCCACTGAAGAAAAAACAAAAACAAGACAAAAAACAAAGAAACAACCCCCCCCCCCAAAAAAAACCCCTAAGAACACACACATTTTACACAGATAAAGCTCTTCGTAATGTGTGAGCTGGATTTGTGAGTACAATTTTTTCTATTTCTTTAAGACATCGGTTCGGAGAAGAACAACTCTGAAATCTAGAAGCCTCCAACTATGGATTAAATAGCCTGAACAATCCATAATTGGCCAAGCGTGGGGAGTACAAGGGAACGATTTATCTTTCAATTACCAGTCGTTTTAAATCATCTGATGAGCGTACAACGGCCGAAACGTTGTAATAAATATGGCGACAAAGATGAGGACAATAGTCCGAATAATGTAAATAGTGTACATAATACCTCATCTCAGAAATATAGACAGATACTAACAGAAAGATTTCATATATAAAAAAATTGGTATTGTCTAGTTTAGCTTTTCAAACGTATTCTACATACATTATATCTCTTATTTTTTTTAAGTGGACTCATATTTGGAAACGAAACGTGAGGAGATTTTAGAATGCCGATGTAGAATCTATAAATGAAATCAGTGGTCACAAGTGTTAAGTTATCATGGTTTTCCTTCGAATCCGAAGAAAGCTTCCAGTGTCTCCGGAGATAACTCTGCACACCAAATTTGGACGTACAGAGCCTGGAGCAGTTTGGACACACTGGAAGTCGGTGGTCGTGACGAAGGCCAAAGTAGTACGGTGGCGCGGTTCTTTTTGAGTCGTGAGTTTTTTTACGCTGGGTTACTTCGATATTTTGTAGAGGCTTGGTTGACAATGATATGCCTAAGCGAACGGTCGGCAACACACTCGTCTAGCTCCGTTGGTCTGATCTTGCAATAATGGAGGTTGTTACTTATAGACAACAATAAAACGAGCAAAACAAAAAAACAAAAAAACAAAACAAAAACAAAACAAAAACAAGGAGCAAAACCTTAAATCAATTATATTACATTTTGATTAAATTACTTTGCAAATCCAAATTAATGTTTACAATGTGAGTCAACATAAGAAAATAAGTTGTACGTAAGGGCGGTAAATCAGTGTAGATAAATAGTTTGAAACGCTGAACTTAACAATACTCCAAAATACCTTCAATTTACTGACAATTTAAATGAATGTCTATAGAAAAATCATTTATTTTTTTATAATGTCGGATAATCCATTCGAAATATTATTGTTGATTATGTTTCGGACAGGAAATTGACTCGTAGAAGTCCTAACGAGAAACGTGCCTTCGTTAATTTGTATTTACACACCGAGGTCAGGTTGTGTCACAAGGTCGGTTTTTTTATATGGGGAACCCGAGTTCGTGCATCTGGGAAAGGAACAAAAATTCCCCGAGCTCCCGCAACCGTCGGTTGCGCTGGCCTCGGTGCGTGCACCGATCCTTCTCTCTAGTGCAATGAGAAGGCGCAGCCTCAGGCAGCTGTTCCCTACGGCTGGGCACATCTCAGTATAATTTTCCTCAGTTGCGACTCTGTCCTTTGACGGAGTCGCTCCTGAGCGTATTTTGCCCAAAGACAGAGACGCAACTACGTAGACGTGTAACTACTCAAAAAGAGTTATTTACACACTAAACGTGCCTTCGTTAATAGGTTGATTCAAACCATTGCCTTGTCAGGCTGACTCCATGGACAAACTGATAGAGGAACACGTTGGCTCAAGAGGTTGGTGCCCTTATGAAAAAAGAAAAATAAGAATGGTTCGATTCCTGTCGGAGGCACAATTTTTCTTTAGTAAGACTTTTTAATTTAGGCCGGTTGTTTTTAATTTCACTGTTTAATAAAATGACCCCCCCCCAAAAAAAAACAGGGATATCAACGCTGAAAGGTTTACCTACTAAAATAACGTTTATCGTAAAAAGAAAATTAGAAAATCATTTATAACTGAAATACATTGAAAATATTTCGAGAATCGAAATTAGACTGAATGATTATGTTTGTAGGTTGCCACAAAAAACCCCATTAGGCGGCGCTGTTCAAGTTTATGAAAAAACAACAACATTTCTTTTCTCTTGCTTCCAGATGTAGTAGAAAGTAGATAAAGAACGTCCCCTTTGGGACACATTTGTTTCCTTCGTCCTTTGGCATTTGAACTCTCACACATATAAACATACGTGTGTATCACGCAAACAAACACATTCTTATTTATAATTTATTAATTTATTTTGATTTAGTACTGTTCACTTATTGCTCGCATGTTTCCACAAGTACACACTGCCAGACCCAGGAATTGAACTCACATCCATAATGTTACAAAAAAAAAAAAAAAAATGTTTATCCGCTGTCCAGTAGGACTACAAATAATTCAACCGTCTTTAATAAAAATAACAAGACGAGATTTCCCGTGACATGAGCAATGGAACGAGAAAATTCTACCCCGTAAATTAAATAAAGGGTTCAGTCCAGAATTCCCTGAAGGTTATAAAGATCGATAAACTGGGTAATAATGGATAAATTGTCATCTAAATTACACAAAAATGAAAATAACACTGGCATCTCATTTTAACAGATATATTTATACCAAAATTACTCAAAAATATCTTGAAATGCTAAAGAGTGAATTTATTCAATAAAATTGCCATCGGCTTCAACCACGGCCTCCAGATAACTTCGGAATCTCCTGCATCTCTTCTGGACGGTCTCCCTGTTTAAGTTGGTGAATGCTTACATAATCTTTGACTTCAGTTCATCTTTGGTGTTACAAGGAGTTTTGTTGGTCTCTCACTCAACTGCACCCCACACATAATAATCAAGGGGGTTGTAGTCTGGGAAGTTAGTTGGCCAGATGTAAGGCGTGATGTGGTCGCAGAAATTGTCTGACAGCCATGACTGGGTTCTCCTGCTTGTGTGGCATGGTGCCGAATGCTGTTGCCAGATATAAGGTCTTCCAGTAGCCACCCTCTTGACCCAGGGCGGTACTACCTCCTCAAGCCCCTCACCAACAGATTCAGGAGTTCTTTTCTTATCAGAATGATCCAAGTGAGTTTTCCGAGTTGCCGTGCCTTCGTAATCACCATTAGACTCATCCGACTCTTTCCGAATTCTCTTCACTGTTCTCAGATTGACACCCAAACACGCTGAAATATTGTTATTGGAGCTTCCGCTGCGAATGCCAAGCAGTAGAGCATGCCGTTTCCAAATTTCTGGCGGAGTGAACTGCATCATGATGTTCTTTTTCTCTCAGACGGTGCCCAACTGACCCTACTATACTGTGCAGTCGACAAAATAAGAAACAAACAACGCGCATGTGCGAAATTAAAAATATAAAGTAGCGACAATTTACGCATCGCAGCCTGAATACCCGAGAAAGGCCGTAGGGCACAACGACCGAAATGTGATAACAACAAAGATGTGGACAATAGTCCGAATATAAATAATGTAAATAACGATAACTTGTAATCCCAGAAATTCAGATAAAAAGTACTGTTATATAGGAATAAAGTGTCGCTGCCGGCACTTGAGTTTGAACATAGATCGCCAGTGAGCAAACACAGGCGATCCCATTATTGAATTGTGGATATCATGACCACAGAGGAAACGCATAAGTAGAAAGTATCATGGCGAGTAACGATTGCTAGTTCTAGTCTATCCCCTATACTATACAGATCGCTATCTCTCTTCTATCCTCTATTATTATACAGACCACTAATCTCTACTCTATTCAATATACTCTTTCTCTATTCAGATCACTATACGAGTTACTATTCGAACGAGTATTATCGAGCAAGTACTATTAGTGCGAGTGATATTCGACGGCGTCTGACCAGTATTGTTCAACGGCGTTACTATAGTGGTATCTGCGATTACAAAGTCTCTACTACAACGAGCATTACGAAAGTGACAACGAGTAATTGTTGACATCACAAAAAGCACATTCTTATTAGCATTGTTTTTAATACCTTTTTCTTTACTTTCATTTGTGTACACATTTATGTATGTACATCTGGCAGCAGGGCCTCTGATCGGGAGATTGGAGGTTTGTGGGAGCGTGAAACCATCTCGTAATTGTTATTATTCATAGATTCACCCTGACCAAGGGTGGCAGTACCTGTTAGGGTCCCAGCTATGGGCAAATCCTGCCCCCCAAACAAAACACTATGAAACTATAAAAATACATTTTTATAGTAAAAATACCAGCAATACATTTTTATATAAAGAAATTACCAAAAATAGATATTTATAGTAAAACTACTAAAAATGCGCATATACTAACAAACTGTAGCGACTTCGCCCAAACCCATTTAAAATACTACCAACCAACCAACCAACCAACCGAGCAACATGAAAGAAATCTTTCATGATATTAAGGACATATAATATCCGACAATTTCTTAAAGAAATCAAACTGTATTCCAAAATATAACTTCAACAGAAGTACAATATAAAACACGCCTCGTAATTATGTGCACACAAACATGTCTATGCACAAAAGCGGAGAATCATCTACCATGTATTCAATTGTGAAGGTAGAATAACATATTTTTATTACTTGGAAGCTCCGAAAAATAAACTATAAGGAGCTGAGATGCTGTTAAAAAAATCAAATCATTCAATAAACAGATTTATGTAATTTTCTGTGTGTTAATACATTCCCTAATTGTCATTTGTTTTAAATTCCATGTGTTGTAATTAAAAAAAAAAATCTTTCCCGGACTCACAAATATTCCAGGATCCATTAAATATTTACTGAAAAACGTCCACACCTCGTAACAAAAAAGGTCCCTTTAACTGAACTCTACAAGATTTTTTGTTCATCACTGCAGTAGCCAGGTATTGAACTCACAACTCTTTGGGTTAAGTCACTGGATCCAACCAACACTTTTATCCTCTGGGCCATGTGTCGTTGGTTGGATCCAGTGATTTGACCAAAGCATTGTGAGTTCAATACCTGGTTATTGCAGTGGTGAATAAAAAAAAAAAAGAAAATTGAGTTAAAGAGAGATAACTGGGGTATCCAAAAGAGGCATGACACGGAGAACTAGAACAATCTACCCCGGTGGACGAAATAAAGGGTTCAGTTCGAAATTCCAATCATCTGAAGACGGGCGGAGCGTACAACGGCCGAAACGCCGTGAATATGACAATAAATATGAGGACAACAGTTCCAAAAATGAAAATAATGTAAATAATTACAATACCTCATCTCAGAAATATAGACAGATACTGAAGAAGGCCGGAGCGTACAACGGCCGAAACGTCGTGAATATGACAATAAATATGAGGACAACAGTTCCAAAAATGTAAATAATTACAATAACTCATCTCAGAAATATAGACAGATACTGAAGAAGGCCGGAGCGTACAGCGGCCGAAACGTCGTGAATATGGCAATAAATATGAGGACAACAGTTCCAAAAATGAAAATAATGTAAATAATTACAATACCTCATCACAGAAATATAGACAGATACTGAAGAAGGCCGGAGCGTACAACTGCCGAAACGTCGTGAAAATGGCAATAAATATGAGGACAACAGTTCCAAAAATGAAAATAATGTAAATAATTACAATACCTCATCTCAGAAATATAGACAGATACTGAAGAAGGCCGGAGCGTACAACGGCCAAAACGTCGGGAATATGGCAATAAAGATAAGGACAACAGTTCCAAAAATGAAAATAATGTAAATAATTACAATACCCCATCTCAGAAATATAGACAGATACTGAAGACGGGCGGACCGTACAACGGCCGAAACGTCGTGAATAGAAAAAAACCACCCCCCACCCCCCCAAAAAGACAGGTGTAGATTGTCCAAAAAGAACTCTTTTGGGAAGTGTCATTTTACGACAGTATCTCATCACAAATAATACACTACTTTCGTTACAATCTTCATTCAAGACACACGATAATTCGTGCGCGGGGCTAATGGTCTCTTCACCCGTATTGTGTAATTTGGTTAATTAAGCCACTACTTGAAATTAACAGAAAAATTTCATTTCACTCATTATCTATCAATTTATACCAATTGTGCTCCCGTTCAAGGTGGATTGGCCATCACGATGAAGACATTACAGGATAATTATTATTGTTCGATTGTAGGAATTTCAACGGCGTGACAGTAATTATAAATACTCCAAAGTGTGAAAAGGTGATCTATCTATCTATCTATCTATCTATCTATCTATCTATCTATCTATCTATCTATCTATGCCAGTACCTTATGTATCTATCTATGTATCTATCTATCTATTACAGTGCCTTATCTATCTATCTATCTATCTATCTATCTATCTATCTATCTATCTATCACGCCTCATCATGGAGTAATGGTTAGTAAGGTTAGTGTGCTTGGCCGTTATTACTGAGTAATGAGTTCGATCCTAACTGTGGGCCCTGTACGTTATACGATATTGAATAACCCAACGGATTGATGTAAAATATCTATGAAATGAACAAAGAGTGTATTAACATAGTGATATATATATATATATATATATATATATATATATATATATATATGAATGAGAGAGAAAGAGAGAGAAAATCATCATTACTGATTAGTAAGTTCTGCCTCCTCTGAGTACTGCATACATTATCTATCTATCTATCACACCTCAGCATGGAGTAATAGTTAGCAAGGCTATGTGCTAGTCATTATTACTGAGTTGTGTGTTCGATCCTTCTTGTGTGCCCTGTAGGATATTAAATAACCCAATATTTGGCTGACTGAGAAAAGATTTAATATCGGAATCGTAAGTGTTCACGTTCAGGAATTAGAGGCATCGCTGCCGGATGTAGTTTATCGTCATACCCAGGACGCTGGGTAGACTTCAAATCAAACAACCAGCCTTAGGTTGGTAAACACACATATACGTTTCACAAATAGCAATTAAATAAACCCATTTATTTATCTTGTTTAATAATATAAAAGGATAAAATGACAGCTGCTTCTTCTTCTTCTTCTTCTTCTTCTTCTTCTTCTTCTTCTTATTATTATTATTATTATTATTATTATTATTATTATATTATTATTATTATTATTTCCCTTTCTTCTTCTGCAGCCGTGTTTCTTCAAAACGCGGGCGAACATGGATCTCCACAAATTATACTCACAGAAGGCAGCAAGTGTTTGTCCGCTTTCTTCCTCATGATAACAAGTGAATGTACGGCTTACCTTAAGTCCAAACATCGAGATGGTAAGGAGTGGGGATCAACGGCCAATCCTCCGCCCTCACCAAATAGTGAGCTTGGGAGACATGCTTTCAATAAAATTAAGAACAACAGGAGAAAGAAACGGCAAAAACAATTCCATGTTCGGACATTTTATCAAGCAAGAAAATTCGGCCAACAAGATCATGAGAATACTGACGAGACACTTTCGCATCTCGCCAAAGACATTCAATTTTCCTTTTTTTGATTATTCTTTCGAACCGGCATTTCTAACTAGACCATCAAATAGGTTAGAATGATTAGGACAAAAATGTGTTACTATGGTCAAACACACTGGCGAGTAGAGGGAGAAAAAAAGATTACATTCTAACCTGTCTTTGGTTAGATGCGAAAGTGTAATCCCTGTTCTATCAAAATTTTACGCAGGTACGTTAGGTAGATCCTACATTATTTTCCTCTATTCCTCTTACCTTCCATATGTTCTGTGAATATCAAATTTTCCATGTGGTTCTACAGGAGGATGCTGAGGATACCATGAACCGAATTTGTGAGAAACGACCAAGTTAGAGAAAATGGAAACGAAAAGGACACATACATAACGCCAGGAAGTGTTGGTTGAAATCTCTAGGGCACATAATGAGGAAATAGGGCTTGGAAAATCTGATACTCACAGGACGGATTTAATAGTTGAGCTTGAGTAAATGGATTCTAAAAGTTTAGGAAAAGGTAACAAAAAGATACAATGTATTAAGAGCTAGAGAAAAAAGGAAATTGTGGGGAGCCATGATCGCCTGCTTACTGAGGAGACACCGCAGCGAACGCAGAAGAATGCCACTCTTCCGCTCTCTAACAATTTTTCTAAATGCCTTCGACTGCCCATTTTTTCCACACCGTTCCCAATGAGGGGATACAGCACTGACCGCGTTGGGAATAACAAGCTGAACACAATTTTTTGCTATCACAAACGTCAGGTAAATACGCAAAATCCTTCCGTGAATATTTGTTGATCTTTTCTTCAGTGCTGTTTAATGGGGTGGGCGCAAAGAGAAAATATGTTCTTGACGTAATTACTACCCATGTATTGCAGAAATCTGAAACCTGCAGTGATGGCTTATAACGCAAGTGACATTCTATTCTTTAGATAGTTATTTCTGTTTCTTTACGTAATTCCTACCCATGTATTGCAAAAATCTGAAACTTTCAGTGATGGCTAATAACGCAAGTGACATTCTATTCTTTAGGTAGTTATTTCTGTTTCTTTACGTAATTCCTACCTATGTATTGCAGAAATCTGAAACTTTCAGTGATGGCTAATAACGCAAGTGACATTCTATTCTTTAGGTAGTTATTTCTGTTTCTTTATGTAATTACTACCCATGTATTGCAGAAATCTGAAAATTTCAGTGATGGCTAATAACGCAAGTGACATTCTATTCTTTAGGTAGTTATTTCTATTTCTTGACGGATTTAGATATATAGTCTGTAGATAATATTTGTTGGTCATTTTTTAAAATGTATTTTTGGTAATTTTATATAAATGTACTCTTGTTCTTTTCGTGCGGGTCACTATTTGCCCATAGTTGTGACCCTAATTGGTGTCTACCTGTCCAGGCCAATGGTGGATTTGGGACCAACAGCCGTGAAGAAGTTGTTCACACGTAAGCAGCTAAAAAAGAAGCATGCAAAAACTTTGGTTTATACTAGGGAACATGGCTTCCTTTTTTTATTCTAGGGAAGCAAAGTTAATAATGACTCTTGGATATGACCGTTTACTTTTTCTTTTCTAGAAGTAAGTTAAGGCAAGTGATGATGAGCATTGTCATAATGACCGAGCTCAAGACAGCCTTGTGCTGAGCTGAAACGACCAAAGTCAAATTTCTACTGACTTCATCGACGGAGGTGTGGAAGTGAAAGAGAGTTACTTTTCGTTGGAAAGTGGGAAGAGAGTTATTTTTTCTCATCCAGGAGTAAGTTAGGGTTAAGTCATGATAAGCTTGGTTATATTGGTCGAGCTCAAGTCAGCCTTACGCAGATTTGGAACGACCAAATTACAGGTTGTACTTATTCATACGTCAGTTGATTGGAGGAAAAGAGACGTTTCCCAGTGGGAAAATCTTTACCTGCACCTGATACGTCTTGGAATACAAGGAAGAAAAGAGTTCAGTCGTCAGTTGATCGAGGAAAAGAGACGTTTCCCATCGGAAAGAAAGAAGAAAATGTCTGTTTATAAAAACCTAAAAAAAAATTTCTGTTTATGAAAGTTAAACAGTAGCATCGTTTAGCGAAGCGAAATGGAGTGATAAAATTTCCAGTTTCTTTACTCTTAGCATCATAGAAAAATATATTTCTTTTATTATTATTATTATTATTTGTGTATGCCATGTTTCCTGCTTTATATCTTGTAGAGTGGGATCCAAACTATGGTCTTTAGGCCCTATAGGAGAATTGTCGTTTAATTGATAACACTTTTCTTAGTATATGGGATGTTCCTAGTAGGGCGATCTTCTGGGCAATTTATACGTTGTTGTTACCTGGGACGCTGTTATTAAAATTGTCCATTCCTTTTCTTACGAAGCCCAGTGCTCCGATTACTATTGGTATAATTTCAGTCTTCATTCCCTACATTCTCTTAATCTCGATTTCCAGGTCCTTGTATTTGGACAATTTCTGGATAATTTTCCTGGAGATGTCTCTCCCATATGGTACTGCTATGTCAATAAGCATACATTATTATTATTATTAATTGATTTTATTTCTATTATTGATTGTTAGTCTTTCTTTTATGAGGGTGGTGTCAAAATGTAATACCCACTTTCTTTAAATTTAAATATAGTCATTCGATAAGCATTCACTAACCCCTCCCCCTGTGAATATCTGCAACACAATCTCTTTCCGAAAAACAAACATTTGATGACAAATCTTTACTGCGATGATACTGGATTTCCCACTGGGTTTCTTAAGAAGAAAAAGATGATATTCTATACAGCTGTTTACTTTTTATGTATATCAGAGGCAGCCATTTTAGCCTCATCGGTGGTAACAAAATATATTGTAGCTTTTTCTGTTGGGTTTCGTAAGAACGAGGAAAAAAGAGATTTATGACAGCTCTGCTTTGTATATGTGTCTAGGGGCAGCCATTTTGAAAGTGCATTATTGTTTATGAAATGATATGGTATGTATACTTATTTTTTTGCTGAATTTCTCAAGAACAACAAGATGACATTTTATGCTGGCTGTTTGCTTACGATCTGTGTCAAGGGCAGCCATTTTGAAAGTGGATTATGGGTAGGGAAATAAATGGTAACCTCACTATTTTTTGCCCAAGAGAAAAGAGAAGAACATTATCTGACACCCTTCTACTTTCTATGTGCGTCAAGGGCGGCCATCTTGAAAGTGGATTATGGGTAGGGAAATAAATGGAAACTCCACTCCATTTTTCAGCTGGGTTGCTTAATAGAAAAGCGAAGAAGAAACATTATCTGACAGCCTTCTGCTTTCTACGAGGGTAAGGCAAAAATTATCTACACATTCGCCATTTGTCATGCTGCCTTCTGCTCATGCGTGCTTATGGTAGTCAAGTGATCGATGTTTGAGTTTGATCGGGCTAGTTTTCTTGCTGCTGTTACAGTGTAAACATAGCCGCTCCGTTAGCAGTGTGCACTAAGGAGAAACAAATAGCAGTGATCCGATTTCTCTGGTCGGAAGGTGTGCTGGGGGTAAAATTTTTAACATAATACGGCGACAGTGCACTACCGCGTAGAAGTGTGTATGAGTGGATCGAAGAGTTTAAAAGCGGGCGGACAAGCGTGACGCACGCGGAAGGAGTAAGGTACCCGTCTAGCTCCACTGCTAACGAGAAGATTCAACAAGCTCGTGAGACGATAATGGCGAACCGACGAGTTGTCATCAACAAGGTAACAAGCTCTTTGCAGATTCTGATTATTGACATTTGTTCCTCTTTGGTGCACACTGCTAGCTGAACGGTCATGTTTGCACTGTAACAGCAGCAAAAAAAACAAAAAACAAAAAAAGCAAAAAAAATGACGCGATCAAGCTCAAACTTCGATCACGTGACCACAATAGTACTAACTATAGGCATACATGACAAACCTAAAGATATTTTATGGCGAAGGTGCGGATAATTATTAACTTACCTTCTTATGTGCGTCAACGGCAGCCATTTTGAAAGCGGATTATGGTTAGGGAAATAAATGGTCTGTCCATTAATTTTTCTACTGAATTTCTCAAGAAGATCAAAAATACATTCTATGATAGCGGTTTGCTTTCTATGTCTGTCAGAGACAGCCATTTTAAAAGAGGATTATGGGAATGGAATAGATGGTAGTCACACTATTTTTGTTGGGTTTCGTAAGAATAAGGAAAAGAAAAAGAGATTATATGAAAGCCTTCTGCTTTCTGTGTGTGTCTAGGGGAAGCCATTTTGATTGGTATGAAAAGAGATGGTATGTCCACTAATTTTTCTTGTGAAGTTTTCAAGAACAGGAAGAAGACATTCTATGACAGCTGTTTGCTTTCTATATGCGTCAAGGGCAGCCATTTTGAAAAGGAATTATGGGTACGGAAATAAATGATAACTCCACTAATTTCTGCACTGGGATTCCCAAGACTTTGTATTATATCTAAAAAGAAAAGAAAATAAGTTATTCTAATACTTTTAAATCAAATTAGCATAGGCATCGCCTTTTTTTACCGACACCCGCATCTTGTTTTGCAAGCCATTATCAGGTGGTAATTGAGAGAAAAGTTCATAGTCGAATATCCATTAGCTACGACATAGAATCCTTGTAAAAGAACGGGGATTCTTTGACAAACTAGCCAATCGCTAATGTCTTCTGGTGACGATAACAAGATAAGAAGAGTTGTCATTGGAAAAAGTCGGATGTTGTTATACAAGATACTAATTTGTTTAGAATAATCAATTGCGAATGGCTTGGTGAGGTGTAAGAGAAGACGGGCGACACAAGACAGGATGGGTTGGCGGTAGGTAGATAGTGTGGCTCCGGCGGGGTGGAGGAGGCGGGTTCTGTTTTGACGATCATCATTAAAAATCCTGGCTATTTTTTCTTTTACTTGGGCTCGAACATTGACTGTGGGCACCGGGGAGAAAAAGAAATCTTAATAACAAAACCTAACAAGCTGATCGAAATAGAAAGAATATGCTATGGTTTCGTCTCGCCTATGTGTATGTCCTCTATGTATTTATATCTATCTATCTATCCATCTATTTATCTATCTATGTCTGTTCATATCTATGTTCTTTTTATCTATATCTATCTATCGTTTTATCTATCTATCTATTTCTGTTATCTATCTATCTATCTATGTTCATTTTCTGTTCATCTATCTTTTTATCTATCTATCTATCTATCTATCTCTATCTATTCGTTTTTATCTATCTATCTATCTATCTATCTATCTATGTTCTTTTCTATGTCTTTTATCTATCTATCTATCATCTATCTATGTTCGTTTTATCTATCTATCTATCTATCTATATCTATCTATGTTCGTTTTTATCTATCTATCTATATTCGTTTTTTATCTATCTATCTATCTATCTATCTATCTATCTATCTATCTATCTATCTATCTATCTATCTATCTATCTACTAAATCAGAATATATATCTATGCCTGTAATATCAAAATATGAAAATCAAAAATGAAAATAAAGACATTGTATTCGGCGAGTGTCATTGTTTCTAGCGCTTTTTGAAGTTTAAAAAAAAAGAGAATACAGTTTTCTATTGTGTTTTTCGTCTCCAGCCCTGAGATTTAAGAGTCATTTGTAGAAACTTACTTTAAACGTCGGTCGATCTTATTTTATTCTATCTCAAACCCTCGGCCGTTGAACTCCTCCGCCTACCATATTTGGCATGCTTATCATTTCACTGTACGCTAATAAGTACACAACAGTCTTCTATTGTAGAAGAAAAAGCAGAAGGAGGATGGGGAGTAGGCGAATGAAGAGGAGGAGGAGGATGCGGGTTAAGTGGATAGAGAGGAGGATCCAGCAATAAAAATCGAAGTCTAGAAGAGAGCGTAGACAGAGACAAAATATAGACGAAGATCAAAAAAGAAAGAGAGAGAGAGAGAGAGAGAGAGAGAGAGAGAGAGAACGTGTAAAAGAAGAGAAGGATAATAATTAAAAAAAAAGAACAAGGAGGAACGTGTGTATGTATATTAGCTGTTAGATCACCAACATTTATAAAATCCATACTTAAAGAATATATGTCTATCTACTACAGCTACTACTACAACGGGTGTTACGTAAATCTTTTGACTCTCACACGAATCATCCCAAAACCAACATGCGAACTACCACCAAACATAAATAATAAAAATGCCTACTACAACTACGTCACACACACACACACACACACACACACACAAACGAATATACATTATCTTCTGAATCCCACGTAGACAAATTAGAATTATGATACACTTACACACATGAATTATAATACACACAAACGTTGCTTGACAAGACAATTGCACGCGAAGTCTGCTTAAGCAATGAAAAACAAACAGCACAAAAATGTAAAATGACTTAATTTTTTCTCTTTCTTTCTTTTTTTTTCTCCACATGTCATGCTCTGATGAATCTTTATTAAAAGCGAAACATTAGATTTATAAACGTTTTCTATTTATTCCTTATCCTGCCACCGACATCATAGAGTCGGCGTGGCGTAATGGTTAGCAAGCTGGTCTCGCAAGGACAATTACGACTGAGTTCGATCCTCATTGGGTGTCCCATACTTTCGGCCTTGTGCCACATCATAGCTATCTCTTTCTTCACTTTCCGTACGCGTTTCCCACCTCTCTCTCTCTAAACTATTAACAGGCCCAAAAGATGAAAAACAGAGCAACACATTCCCTCAAACTAACTTCTGTCAAGGAAAATAACTGAAGTTTATATGATAACAACCAAAATGTGTCTTCCGCACACAAGCGCTGCCGTGGCATTAAAAGAACGCACGTTGGCTCCGTTGACAGGTTTCACATTGTCAACAGTGAAAAAACAGCTCTGAGCAAATCAACATAGATATCAGAGAGAGAGAGAGGTTCCATTATCAAGCGATGCTAAGAATTTATATATATATATATATTTATTAAAGACATTTTTATGTTTAACGTTCTTTTTTCTAGATACAAGTATTTAAGTAAATGCTCTGTTTATAATAAACAGTATTAAATAACATTTACAGGCCTGAATGTCCGAGAAATTTTCATAGAAAATATTCGTCCTTTGACAGGATTCGAACCTGCATCCTATACGGAACCGTCATTTACGCTGACGTGCCTTAACCGACTCGGTCACAAAGGAGCGTTCGGTAGGCAAGGTCGAATTTACTGCTTATAAATTTATAAATCGACCTTGTCCATTTGTATATTTATATATATATATATATATATATATATATATATATATGTGTGTGTGTGTGTGTGTGTGTGTGTGTATGTGTGTGTGTATGTGTGTGTGTGTAACCCCGTGAAAGGTTGGCGGATGGAAGGACTCATAGGCACTTTTGGACTCTATTGAGCCAGGAAAGTGAGAATTAGTCAGCTCCTGCCCAAATATGACAACAGTATTTCATTCTTGGCCCGATCTAGCTCTTGTAAACGTAGTAAATAGCACGTAGTGTTATGTACTTGCTAGAGCGGTACAGGGTAGCCGACCATCTTTACTTGCATCTTTAGACTAAAATGACATTTGAAAGTTCAGCAAAATATTAATATAACAACTACTGCAAAAGTTACCCAAACCAAAACCAACGTTGCCACATCTGTGCAAGACAATGTAAAACCCTAGCAGGACTCGAAAGCCACATCGACGCTGTCTATATTTGAAGTTACCCCACTTACTTTTCTAAAACAACCGCCGCTAGGGGGCGCTTCCTAAGCCTATAGATAGAGAGTAACATTCTCGGTCATTCTCTTTCTCCTATTTTACCCAGGAACTGTAAGATGGAGGTTCGAACACAGAGATAAGTGCTCGCAACTTTCCCTTAAATTTCTTCAATGTACCGCCTTTCACTCGGACTTCTTCTGCACACATTTTATACACAGAAACGTATTCTTTAGTCTTTAAATGTTTTCTTCATTCATGTTTATTGCTCAGTAACAGGCAACAATATTCTATTGTTTATCTATATTGTGTTTCGTTAATATATACATTATCGGTTGTTTATATATATATATATATAGTTTTTTGTTACTTTTACATTTTATTACCCGAACTCATATTCCGGGTCCACCATTTTGTTGTGGGATAAATATACCAGGAGCCACGTGTTTTCCACCTAAACAATCGACTGTCTACGCCTGCAAAAAGATGAATCAAGCGATGACATTGCTCGAAAGAAGGAGGAGAATAAGGAAGAGGAGAATGAGAAGAACATGGAGGAGGAAGAGATGAAGAAGAATAAGTAGGGGGATGCGAAGGAAGAGGAATAGGAGGAGAAGAAGAAAAGGAGGAGGAATGGAAGACGAAGTAGTAGAAGAAGAAGGAGGGAAGAAGAAGGTGAAAAGGAAGGAGAAGGTTGAAGAGGAGGGAGAAGGAGTGACGAAGAAGAAGAAGAAGAAGAAGAAGAAGAAGAAGAAGGAGGAGAAGGAAGAGGATGAGAAAGAAGAAAAAGATGAAGGTGGAGGAGAGAGAGAAGAAGGAAGAGGGGAAGAGAAAGGTGGAGAAAAGAAGAAAAAAGAAGGAGGTGGAGGAAGGGGAGGAGAAAGAGAAGAAAAAGAAGGAGGAGAGAGAGGTAGAAGAAGAAAAGAAAGGAGGAGTAAAAGAAGATAAAAGAAGAAGAAGAGGAGAAAGGGGAGAAAAAGAAAGAAAGAAAGAAAGGAGGAGGAGGTGGGAGAAGAAGAAGAAGAAGAAGAAGAAGAAAGAAAAGAAGAAACTCAGTAAATAGTAACGGTAGCTAAAGACGCGAACATGACAGTAAAACGTAGCATCGGAAGCAGTAACCGTAGCTGTAGTAGTAGTAGTAATAGTAGTAGTAGTAGTAAGACTAATAATATGAAAGCAAAGACGACGAAGAAATGCGAGAAGAAGAGAAAGAGAAGTTTCATCGTAAAGTTTAATTATTTAGAGTAGAACACGTAGGATATTTTTCCTTACAACGAGTGTCTCAATCAATTTTAACGGACGGACTTTAATAATTAAACAATTAACCGGGCCGCCTAATTGGTGCCAACATCCTTTGATGAAGGAAAGGCAAAACGTTCACGCATGCTCGCTTATTGATTAGCCGTTCAACGCATGCGCACGCGCGTATGAATGAAATTCATTGACAAATGCTAACAAACACATTCAAAGCACTTGTAAAATCTTACTTAGCTTTCTCGATCACTCAAGTCGAGCACTACCCCACCCAAGAATAAGAAGTATATATATATATATATATATATATATATATATATATACAAGTACTTCAGTATCTGTCTATATTTCTGAGATGAGGTGTTATATACACTATTTACATTATTCGGACTTTTATACGACCCGGCCTTCTTCAGGTGGTTGGAATATCGAACTGAACCCTTTTATTTCGCTTACTGGGGTAGACTGTTCTAGTTCAACGTGCCATGTCTAATGGATGTCAGTTATCAGTTATCTCCTGTTAATTCCCCTCTCCAAGTTCTCCATTGCTTTAACCAGGTATTGAACTCACACTCTTTGGGTCCTGTCACTGGATCTAATTAACGCCTTTATTCATTGGGCCATGTGTCATTGAGGGCATCTGTCTATGAATTTCTGGGTATTATAAACCTAATGTTTTCTGTAACCATTTTTTACCAGTGCTCATAATACAATTTTTGCTGTTATCATTGCATGTTTTTTTTACCAGATCTCATATTGTAATTTTCGTTGTTGTTATCGCTTTTCTCTGGCATTCTTTATTACTGGTTCCCATATTGTATTCATTTCTATGCTTGGTCGACTCAGGAGATTTTTGTGGCCTAGCATATGTGCTGATTCCTTAAGTTTATGAATTTTCCAATGATGTTCTTTGTCTATGATTTCAACATGATCCCACATAGAGCGGTGATCTCCCTTTTCTCTCCATATGTGGTCAGCCACGCCTGATTTTTCCACTTTCCCTCGTGTTACAGCTTTCTGGTGTTCTTCAAGCCTTATCTTAAGGGGGCGGCCTGTCTCCCCTTTATATTTCTTTCCGTAGCTGCACGGGATGGCGTACACACAGACTTTAGTCATGCTCTATGGTGTGTGTGTGTGGGTGTGGGGGTCTTACTTGGGAGAGATATCTGCGAAGTGTCGTCAATGGTTGTCCTGATGTTATATGGACCGCAGATTCTTTGTATTTTTTCTGATAACCACTTCACATGAGGCAGGCAGACTGTTTTCTGAGTGTTGTTGTCCTCCACTTGTACCCGCCTATCCCAGTTTATTGGGGCTGTTGCCATGTACCAGGGTAGTTGTTACGTTGTAGGGTACTACTTATACTGACCAATTCTTTATCTAATGTCTCTGGGTCGCCACTTATGACTTGGTGTTGTAAGCAGCAGACGATCCCTTTCTTTACGCTGTATGGATGGTGGGGGTTGAAATTGAGGTACTGTCCAGTGAATGTTGGTTTACAGTATACGGATGTTTTGAGATATTAGAACATCCAGGAATGGGAGTGTGTTGTTACTCTCTTTCTCCACCATGAACTGTATCGAAGGTCTTATTGAGTTCATATGGTCCAGTAGAACCTGAACATCTTCCTGGTGTGGCCAGAGTATGAAGGTGTCATCTACATACCTTAACCATAGAGTTGGCTTTAGAGATATAAATTCTAATGCCATTTCCGCAAATTATTCCATGTATATATTCGCCATTGCTGGTGATAATGGCGAGCCCATTGCTAAGCCCTCATCCTGTCCATATATGTGTGATCCCATTCTGAAGTGTGTTGTTTGTGTACAGAAAGTCAACATGTCCATCAGATTATCTATTGGAATACTGGTCCTTTCTTCTAGGGATGAGTCAGAGACCAATCTGTCCCTGACTACTAAGAGGGCCTCCTCAGTGGGTACATTGGTGAAGAAACTCACCACATCCAAGCTCACCATCTGGTTGGATAGGATGGGGGCCTCTTTGATTATTTCCACGAAGTGGGCGAAGTTTCAGACATATGAAGGTGATTTTCTCATCAATGGGTCAATTATATCAACATGGAAGCAACTCAAAGGGTAGCACACAGATCCTTGGCAACTAACAATCGGCCTGAGTGGAATACCGTCTTTGTGAATCATAGGGAGACACTATATTTGAGGTAGCTTAGTGTAACGCTGCGACAACTGCCTATACGTCTTAGGTGCGAAGTGATCTTTGTTCTTGATTAGTATCTGAGACATGGCACAGTGGATAAAGGCGTTAGTTAGATCCAGGGACAGGACCCAAAGTGTGTGAATTCAATACCTGGTTAAGGCAGTGGGGAACTTGGAGAGAGGAATTAACAGGAGATAATTGATAACTGACATCCATTAGACATGGCACGTGGAAGTAGAACAGTCTAGCCCAGCGAGCGAAATAAAGGGTTCAGTTCGACATTGAAACCACCTGAAGAAGGCCGTAGCGTACAACGACCGAAACGTTGTGATAAATATGGCAACAAAGATGAGGGCATTAGTTCGAATAATGTAAATAGTATGTGCGGTACTTATTGGAAAGTGCTCAATATCAGTGATAGATATATATATATATATATATATATATATATATATATATATATATATATATAATAATTTGTGACCCTGAGTTCCACCCTTTTGCGATCATCAGACAAACTGTTTGATTACGTCTGGTGAGGGTGGAGAATTCTCCTCTGTTTCCGTTTTAGGATGACACCTGTATACATATATGTCTCTGTGTAAAAGTGTCATCCCAAAACGGAAACAGAGGAGAATCCCCAAATACCAAACATAATCAAACACAAGCATAAATAGATTCAATTTTCAGAAAATAAACCAGGGTCACAAAATCATATCCATACAGCTCTGTATATATATATATATATATATATATATATATATATATATATATATATATATATATTTATATATATATATATATATATATATATATATATATATATATAGACTAGACCACCCATAACCCATTGGGTCACTGACAGTTCAGGTTGAAGTTGATTTCAACATTAAAATATTGTCTGTTTGAAGAAAGTTGAAATAAAAATACTTACTATATAAACAATTCGTATTTTTAAATCTTAAACATTTAAAATATTTTAAAATCACATTAACGTAAAAACATATTTTTAATATGCCAAAAATATTTTTAAATCGTATTCACTTGAAAATATTCTAAAATATGGCAATTTTTTTTTAAATTCCTAAAATATTGTTTGTTTAAAGAAAGCTGAAATATAAATAAGCAAGCCCGAAATCTTAGGGGTGGAAAGAGAGAAGTGAAAAGAGAGAGAGAGAGAGAGGTGGAAAGGGAGAGGTGAAAAGAGGGAGAGAGATGAAACGAGAGAGAGGTGGAAAGAGAGAAAGAGGTGAAAAGAGAGAGAAGTGAAAAGAGATAGAGAGGGAGAAAGATAGAGAGAGGTTAAAAGAGAGAGGGGTAGAAAGAGAAGGAGGTGGAATGAGAAAGAAGAGAAAAGCGGACATAAATGTAACCATTTATGTCCACAATCCAAATGTTAAATTAGGTCACCATCTGAGACGAATACACACCATTTCCTTCTTCATACACGATAATAAATTTACATCTCTCTTTCACCCACTTTCTATATATGACTTCTGGCAAACACCTAAACATACAATGCCGATGCATTAATGACAATTACGTATATTGGATGCCTAACGTTTAACAATTTATCGGATATTATATGGATTAATGTCATGACAAGTTCTTTTATGTTGATTGTCTGATTTTGTTTAGCGCATATCAACCTCTATGTCATCTGGACACGACAGCCTGTCTGAAGTTATTATGCAAATCAATAAACCTCTAAGTTCTGTTCCAATAAGTCTCAAATTTAAACTCGACCAATTCCACCGAAAATATTTAATTAAGTTTTCTGCCATTTTTAATGGTTAGCTTTTGAGATATTTGTAATTCACGAAAATGGACTGGCTGAAGTTATTAGGCAGATTAAGTGCTATGAGTCCCTCGTCATGATACGCTGGTTTATAGGTTAATCTTACAATCTATTCTTTCTGTTTAATCCTTCGATCCTTGCTGAGTCAGCCCTGACACACCCACACGCACACATGTGGGTGTGGCAGGGCTGACGTGCTAACGTAAGCTAAACTTAGAAACTCTAGCCTGTCTGATGTTATTATGCAGATCAAATAAACATTAATAACTCAAAAAGTTCTGAACCAATATTTATCGTCCATTTTTACCCTTAGTCAAATATTTGACTAAATTTTCTACCAATTTAAATGGTTACTTTTTTGGATATTTGGGATTTAAGAAATTGAAATGACTGAAGTTAATATACAGATTAAACAAATATTAACTTAGGACCTCTGAAATCTAATAAAAACTATTTTTTTTTCTTAGTGTCCATAATATATGTTAAAATATGGATAAGGCAGAGGATCTAAGAACGGCTGACAAACAGAAACTAACGAAGTTATTGAGTGAGGTAATGTTCACATTATTCTTGTTGGATGTTTCATTTTGTTGATCAACTTCTACGTCTGACTTGTCATTTGAAAACGACAGCCTGTCTGAAGTTATGCAAATCAATAATCCTTTATAACTCAAAATTTTGAACCAATAAGTCTCAAATTTAAACGACTATTTCCACCCAAATACGTAATTAAGATTTCAGCCATTTTTAATGGTCAGTTTTTGAGATATTTGTAATTTACGAAAATGGACTGACTGAAGTTATTAGGCAGATTAAACTAATATTAGCTTAAAACGTCTGAAATCTAATAGGAACTATTTTTCTTTTTGTCCATAATATATTTTGAAACATGGGTAATGGACAGGATCTAACAACTGCTGAAAAAGCAGAAAATAAAAAAGGTGTTGGGTGAGGGAATGTCCATATTAGAGATATCAAAGAAACTTTGAAGAGATC